TTTGCCAAATTTTATAAAACATTATTTAATACAATATCGTCAATTTCTAAAGAAAGTATTTATGGTACGTTTTTTATAGAATTAGTTGAAAAAATCGAAGTTTATTTTCATCTATTTATGTATCAAATTCTTTGATCATTAATTATAATGTTTAGTTATAACTTTGCAACCAAAATTGTTGGTTTTTATCAAGAGTAAATTACACGAATGGTCCCTATGGTTTAGTGTAATTTGTGCATTTGATCCCTAATTTCTTTTTTTAACTCGGAAGGTCCCTATTGTTTGTTTTTGTTACGCGCTTGGTCCCTATCTTACCTAAAAAGACTATTTTGGCCTTGATTTTTTTAATTATATTAAATAAGCACACCTCCAAACCTACCCCCTCACCTTACCTTACCTACCAAACTATTTTTTCATATTTAAATAATAGTCTTTTAAGATAAGACAAGGACCAAGCGTGTAACAAAAACAAACAGTAGGGACCAAGCGCATAACAAAAACGAATAGTATGGACCTTCCGAGTTAAAAAAATAAGTTAGGGACCAAACGCACAAATTACCCCAAACTATAGGGACTATTCGTGTAATTTACTCTTTTATCAGATATGTATGTTAATTAATACCATTTTTATTTTTATTTTTATTTTTATACAATAATACATAAAAATTGATCTAGATTCGTTAATTATTTATAACAAAATCAGAAAAATATTAAAAAAATCACTTTGAAGTTTAAAAAAAAAATCAGTTTATTTAGAGTTCAGTTTATTTTAGTAGCTCGTAGATGTTAAAAAAACAAACAGTCTTCTTTTTTCAGACTACAGACGTTAAATCCACCTCTTATACTGCAGAGGTCTACAGATGTGGTCCGCACACTGCAGATATTTTGCCTCAGAAAAAACAAACAACACCTTAGATGATAGAAGCGGGAAAAATCGAAAGGAGGGGCTAAAAGATTGTCACGTACCAAAAATACTTTTATTTATTAGATTAGGGGATATATATATATTGTGTGTTTTAGTTCATGTCGATTTTGTTTATTTTTATAATAACAAGCACTTAATTTGAAGTCAAGGTTTTAAAATATGGAATCATGCCTTCAAAAATTGTTCGATCTTGAATTCTTGGTTTGTTTATATCTACATATCCATTTTGTTATTTTAATACTTATTTAATGAAATTTAATGATATTTTAGTATATTAATATGGTACATATCATTTAAATGGATAAAATAGTTAATAGGAACACAAAGTAAAAGAATATTTAATTTCTCATTCTATTATACTTAATAAAATGAAACAACATGCAAGCTACATAACAAATTACATTTATATTAAGAACGACTAAACATGCCGTATCCAATAAAAAATAAACTAAACACAGATTCCAACTATATTGTATATCGGGAAACTATTATGCATTATCAAGTATACAATTTATCATGCTCATAATTTACATGAATGTATCTAAGCTAAAAGCAAGACAACTGAACAAAAAATTGAATCAAGTGTGCATGTAAATCTTCATATTTTTTATTTTCACGATCTGATGCTTGAAACTTGATCTGCTACGAAATCAAAAGTTACATTAAGACTTCTATTTAAACTTAACAAGCATAAAATAATTTTTTTATTTTTCAATTTCCCCTTATATTATACTTACCATAATTTTATTTGCAATTATTCCATTACACTTGTTTCTTTAAATAATAAAATCATCCATCTTTAACTTCTCAACCAACTCACAAGGCCTATATAGAAATGTATAATTTGGCTACTAATCTTGGAGTTAGATTATAAAATCTCATTTTCAAACATCACATTTTATAGTCTACAATCATTATGATTTACATTCCTATTTTAGTTGTGGGACCTGTTGAGGCATAATAATAATACCCATTGCATTGAGCATGGTTTTGTTAATTACAAGATCTTTCCAATAATACCAAATTAAACATGATTATTACTACATGGCCCCAACAGAAAGTGCCCAAATGAGTTTCAGTTTTTTGAGAAAGAACACGATCAACTTCCTTATACTTTAAATTGAGAGCAATTTTAGCATTGCAGGATTTCTTTCGACAAAACTTTCCAAATAAGAGTGTTTTGGTAAAGGGTTTAGTTGAATGCGTCTTTTCTTTTTCGTGGGCAGCCTTAAAACATGATATTTCTACGTGGACAATAATATGGCACAAAAATTCAAATCACCAAATTAACCATTGAAAAAAAAAACGCTCTAATAAGGAAAAAAAAAAAGGAATATAAGAAAGTGTATTTCTATTTCTTGTATTTACCCTTAAAAGAAAAAAAAATTATATTTTTTCCACTGGTTAATTTTATAAAAGATAACATCTTAATCATTTTATCAGATAAAACCTAAATTGTTTTTATAATTCAAACCAAAAAATGTCTTGCCTTTTTTAATACAAAAGCTTTTTACTATTCATTTCATTTTGTTATTTTTAAACTATAATCGACTAAATACAAATGAATTTACTATTTTATTATCATATGGTATAAGAGAGTAAAAGAAGTATATAAATGGGAATAGAGTTTTTCTCTCTAACCATAAAAAAATTCATATTTATAATTGACTAATTCCAAGTGTTATTTTTATATGTCTCCTCTATATATATATATATATATATATATATATATATATATATATATATATATATATATATATATATATATATATATATATATATATATAATATATATATATATATATATATATATATAAATTTGGTCAAAAATTTTATTTTAATATTTTTGTGGTCTACTTGATATGATATAATCGTTACCATAATATATGTGGATTGTGAATATTTTTACATCATATTGTATATACGAATCGCATTAGAGTTACCTCAAAAATTAAAGTTACATTTTCGTTCTTTAATTTTTTTTATAACTTTTTTTATTACTTTTCTAAATATATATTTTTCAAGCTTATATTTTTATGCGTTCTCCATACATAATTGTTTAAATTGAAACTTTATTTTAATACTTTTGTAGTCCACTTGATATGATCTAATCATCGTTGTGTTTTATCTGAACTATTGACATTTATAAATCAGGTTATATACACAAATTACAAAGGAGTTACATGGAGCATCAATTTACGTTTTGGCGCTTATAGCTTTCATTTTTATTAATTGCAAACGATTTTTCAACATACTAAGTTTCTGCAGTATCGCGCGGACGGTCCAAACCCTAGTTAACCATCAAGTGCAATCTTTTTTCCAAATAAATGATCAAAATGTTGTTATCTTTCATATAAATTAAATCTTATGCTTATTCACCGAGTAAAATTACAAGATTGGTCCTTGTTGTATAAAACTTGTAAATTTAGTCCGATATTCTTGAGTTCCGAAGCAATCCATCCCTAAGTGGTGAATTCAAACAAAGAATAAGGTCGTATCAATACAGTAGCAATTATGGTTTACATTTCGTCTTCTCACAACAATGAAAGAAGCCTAATGAAAAAATGGTATACAAGAAAATAGATAATTAAAACAAAACATATACTCCGTATATGTTTTAGTGATACCAAACTGAAACACCTCCCATGGATAAAGAGTTTTAATTTTTAACGATATCTTGAAAGCATTCAATAACTTTTTAAAGAGTCAGTGCGTTGGGTCTCAAATATAGTAATCATTTCAAAGCTATTGATTTTAAATACGATGGAATTCAATAACATCATAATAAAAAATAAATGGACCAATACAAGCATGTGACCTTTTAAGAATATCCAAGCCATGCTTCTAGTTGTGCTTCCATCTTCTAATCTGAGTACAAATCAAAATAGTATCATTATGCTTAAGAAGCCTAGTGACTAGTGAGTAAACTTGGAGTTAGACTTTAGAATGGAATTGGATAATGGAAATAATCCAATTTCAAAGTCAAAACTTCCAAAACCATTTCAAAATATGTATATAATAACGAATTGGGGCAAGCTTTTAGAATAATCATTTCACCCGGTTCTCTACTCTCAAAACAAGTTCCCTTTCACCCAGTTCAAATAATGAGACCACAAAGGTACCAAGAATTATCCCTCAAAGACCACAAAGGTCAATATGGAATTTATCCTTCAAGGACCACCAAGGTCAATGAGGAGATCTACCCTTCAAGGACCACAAAGAACCAGGAATTTACCCTCCATGGACCCCTAAAGTCAACCAGGGATTTACCTTTCAAGGACCACAAAGGTCAACCATGAATTCATCCTTCAAATGTCTGGAAAACACTCAAGTCAACCCATCCTAAATGATATTTACAAGTAGGATGTTTAAACAGTTTTTTAAACCAACATTTGCATTTTCAAGGGAAGACATTTCCAAAAAAAAAAAAAGGGTTTCATGTAATTCACGGACATATTATAATAGTTACACAGCATCAAAGGTATTTATTATAAAATTTATACCATCACATTTATCAAATAGATTTTAAGAGACTTGTACTCCTGGTATTTACCCACCTTATCTTGGAAGTAATTATTCACACCAAATCAAGAGCGTTTTGATTATAGTTTACTCATCACTTAACTGTCAGATTAAGCTCTTAATAATACTGAGTTGTGCTCTATTTCATCATAACTCATTCGTAACTTAATGGTCTAATTGACCAAATGCTTAGAGGTTTGAATGAATGCACATCGACATCAAACCCCCAAGTTTATCAATAATCCTCATTTGACTTAATAGATTATCAACATTGTTTCCAATGATATCTATTGAATCAAATGGCATTCTAAATAGGTTGCAAATCATTTACAAACGTAACTACTTAAGGATTAGCGGTTCAAATATGATGATCAAACCATTTAGACAACCAAAAACTCCTTAGTTCCATAGAATGAATTTAAGGCTTAAATTCATACAAATGATTTGACCAAACTAGATAATCACCATTTGAACTTCAATTTGACTTGATGAGTCTATGGTGTATTAAGTTTTGTTTATGTCTAAACTCTTTGAAATGTTATCAAAACGTTGTCTTTCATACATATAAAAAAAATGATATGCGTATTTGCAGAGTAAAATTACAAGAATGGTCCTTGTTGTATACAAAAACTTGCAAGTTTAGTCCAACGTTTTTCTATTCCAAAGCAGTACATCCTGAAATGCTGAATTGAAACAAAGAATAAGGGCGATATGAATACAATAGCAATTATGATTTACATTCATTCTTCTCGCAACAATCAAAGAAGCCTACTACAAGAAAATAGAGTTGAAAACGCATAACGATGGCCTAATATACAACGATATATATAATGCCATATAATATCTATATAAATTCCTATATACCCGAACCCAAGAGCCAAGATTTGTCTTATGAACATTTACAGAAAGACAAGGCGTTATTTTGTGTGGGGCCTGGCCCGGCCCGGCCCGTAATGAAGTTTTATGAAATTGTTTCACATTTCTTCTTCTTCTTCTGGGATCAAAGGGGTAAGCCTTCGTTCTACTTCATTGCATTGCAAGTCAATCTCTTCAAGAATCATGGTGAAAGCTGATTTGCAAGAGGCTTCATCTCTAAATGCAAGCGTCCATCTTCCATCCACCAATGATTTTGATTTTAGTTTCAGGTTGGCTGCGTTCTTGGCTGTTTCAGTCAAAGGTAATGTAGATGGTCGGATTCGAAGGTGTAACCATCTTGAATGCCTCTCGTCGATTCTTGGCTGTTATGTTTTTAACAAATAAATAAATATATAAAATTAAAAATAAATAAGAAAAGAAAAGGCTTCCGCTTCCGCTTGCTTACTTTACATCCGGCTAAAGGTGCGACAACACGAACAGTTCCGTATTGGGGTTTTTGAGGGAACTCCTCTGCCAGAATTATCCATCCGGAAGTTCCCATGGAAATTGCTAAAAAGCTAAACTCACGTTCCTTTCCCCTTTCAAATGCAATTCTACAACTCACTGCATCAACTGGATTTCAACAGATACATATTAATTAGTATTATATATTTTTTGTTTATTGAAAACGTATATATGATTGAATTTCTTTTTTTCTTTTGATTTATTTCAATGCATATGATAGAGTAGATTGTTATAAGAAACAATGTGAGGAAGACTAACCAAGATTTAATTCGGTGCTAAGTTTTGGACCAATAACATTAAGACCAGCGGATTTTGCTCGGGAGTTTTCAGGGAGGTCAGCTGGAGGGAGGATAGGAGGCTGATCTGGCAAAGATTTACCAGCTGAGAAAACTTGGAGCTGATGAAGAAGCACAAATACCTATACAATATATAAAATATTAAAATATTAAACTATTAAATATTATTTAATTAATAAGGATTAGGTTTGAGGAAAACCTTAACACGCTCGTACATTGTTTCACCAGCAGCAAAAGATGATTCAGCCGGTATAATGTCTATTCAGACAACCAAATCAAACAGATTAATTCAAAGCTTAAAACAAACACAACTCCATTTAGCAATGTACTTTCTTCAATTTTGTTTATTATAGCATCCTACTTTCACAACAATGCAATTTTAACAATGTGTAATGTCTAAATAAAGAAATTAGTGCAAGTACAATTATGAGTATAATGCTCTTAAATAATTATATATATATATATATATATATATATATATATATATATATATATATATATATATCACAAGTCATACCACTTGAAGAGGACTTCTTTGTTGGGAAGAGTATGGACTTGGGTTCCTTTCGAGGAGAGGAAGCCTCAATTGCTATTATTGAGAAAAAAAAAGAAAAATTATACAAAATAAAGTAACATGAACTTCATACACTTTAATAATTAAGAAAAAAAAAATGCTATATAAAATACATTAACATAAAAGAAGTTGATATACCTCTTTTGCATTTCCTCCACTCATCACATAGCACTTGTATGAGTAGATCAGGCCAGGTTCCGCTTTCCTCTTCAACAAGCTGGCTACAACACTTCTTAAAGGATTCCTGCAACCACATGTATGGGGGTAATGGTATTATTATTTTAAAGGGTAATTCTCCATCTAAACTGAACCAGGTTACAATTTTACTTGGTAAATCATGTTCATCAAAGATACATACACCTTTTCAAGAAAAACATTTTTGGTATACATAATTCATAATCATGACTGACCTTAAGGGACTGAAGATGACGAGTGTTGAACTCTGTCTCACTATAAGGAAGCAATTGCCTCAAAAGCCAACCTCCAGCCCATAATGTATCTGCTGATATGTTTGTTCGGCAAAAAAGACTAATCAACGCGTCTAGTACCTGAAACCAATATATTTTTTTAATACATACCCCAAAACTGGGGAAAAAAAAGAAAACAAAAAATGGATAAATAGAAAGTACTAGATATCTATGTACACGCGGGCTTTCTCCAACTTCCTGATAGGAACACGACACTTCATACTGGTCCTGTCAATGTCAACAGCAACTGAGGTGTCAGAAGCTACACGACATTTCATAAAGTTTTTTAATGAGGTATGACATACCTTTAACCTTTGAAGGTAAATATTGAGTTCACCATCTCCACCATCCTTCAATGTGCAGTTTTCTGTAGCAAACAGCTGCTCTTCACCAGAGTCCTCACCAACCAAGGCTTTCTGGAATCACAAAAACAAGCATTGTGTTTCAACTAATTAAAATAAATAACTACTTTCAGCAAACAGCCCGTGATAATTTTAAGAAGCAAAAAGTGAAAAATTAGCAACACAAACCAGCAACAGTTTCTTATGTTGTTTACGTTGCGGAAGGATTCCAAGAGCATCTAACATTGATTCATCAAGCTCTGCAAATTCAGAAAATATAATGAGGAAAAATAAAAAATAAAAAATAAAAAATCATCAAGAAGCATGTAACAAGATGACAAAAGTACAACCTTTAGTTTGCAAGAATGTTGCCAAAACACTCAAAGAGCCAACCACTTGCATATCATCACCATTTGTAATATAAGAGATCAAAGCATCCCTACACAAGGAAAAGAAAGTAGAAGATCAGAATGGATTTTAAAAGACTGTTAAGTAAACTTTATAAAACATGCTACTTTGATGCCAGAAGCATTATTTCATACCTTAAAACTGAAGCAGAACCCCAGCAATTATGATGATTGCTTGATGAAGTAGATAAACTTGGAAGAGAAACTATCATGCTACTACAATCCAAATTCCCACTTTCCTTCTCATCATCTACATGGCTCTCATCACTTTCATCATGGTTTGCCTTGAAGCCATTAACTTTAGCCTCAGAATTTGGCAAAATGGCTTCCATGGAACAAATCAAGGCTGCAGCAATAGTATTTGCCATGTCTTTAATCTTGAGAATCCGCAATATGGAACACAGCAAATAAAGAGAAGTCACAGAACCAAACGCCTTTTCCTGTGATTACAAGATTTCAAGTTTAGTAAAAGAAGGTTTCCAGTATATATATATAATAAACAAGTTTAAAACTGTAATGGAGTGGCAGAAAATATATAGGGTCTGTTTGGTAGGATGGAATGGAATGACAAATGAATGGAAGAGACTAGGCATCGGAAAAGAAACAAGATAACGGAATGAGTCATTACATTCCATGATCATGTTGGTTTGGCCTGTAGGAATGGAATGATTTTTTATATTATATGTAAATACAATATATAACTTTAACTCTATTATATAGATTATTTTAACACCCCAAATAACTTATTTTGTTATTTAAAAACATTAAACAGTAAATTAATTAAAATAACAGACCTTGTTTTAATTTGTCGAGATATAAATCACATAAATAAAAATGGGTTACATTGCAATTTTTCATTCTATTCCATGATGGGATGTTAAAAAACAACCCATGACTAAGGAATGATCATTGACAAAATTGAAGGGATCACATTCCTTCAGGAATGGTCCATTCCATTCCATTCCTTTCCTGATTCCATCATACCAAACACTAACATAATGAGTACAGATTTATACATCAGAAACTTCAACTCTTAGTGAAGGAAGAAGCAGGGGAAATATGAGCATTTTCAACATGCTGTCTGTAATTAATGTCCCAACATCTGGAATCCCAGCAGATACAACATCATTAAGATAGTATAGATTGTCTTCAATTTCATCAACAGCAGAGAATATGCTAGATGTTGATTCGCTCCCTTCACTCCTATATCATCATCACAAGTATAATTCTCAGATAAAAAATGGAAAATAGAAAAGCAATATAACACATCTAATTTATACTGAATTAAGAAAACAATGAAACGCACTCTGTGGTAGGTGATACCATTCCATTTAAGCTGATGCAATGCTCTTTAAAAAAATTAACCAAGTTCAAAAAGTAATCGGCATGAGGGATGCTGGAGATATATTTATTAACAACTACATCTCCAACTGCAAAACAATAAACATGGGTAAAGACTGACTGCACTTTAGAAAATTTATAGTTTTATACCAAGGGTAGTTTGGGAAAGCAAATATTACATAATGTTGAAAGTAACTAACCATGATATATATTTAGAGTCAATGCACGAACTGCAGTACGAATCATGCCCTCTTCATGGAAAGCAAAACGAATTGCCTCAACATAAAGGGGAAAGGCAACTACATCCTCCTAAATGCATACAAGAGAAGAAAAATATATATTATAACATGAAGAGGGAAGGTAGTGGAGATAGAAAACAATCAAACATATACACGTATACATGCCACTTTTGAGGTTCAAACTTTGGTGAGATAGTTGACAAAGCATCTCTTAGTGTGATATATATGCTCTCAACTTTATAAAACACAATGTATGTTCTGACCTATACACTTGTATTCCAAAATAAGTGGTTGTTGCATTAAATTGGTATAAATCATCTAGAAGCAACTTGGAGAGTCAGAACTACAGAGGAGAAACTACACTGGAATTTCAGCTACCTGTTTCAGGCTTTGAGAACTGGAAAGCTTTTTTATATAAGACTCGTTAAATCCTTTCATGATTTGCCATGGGTTCATGTCAATTGTGAAAAAGTTACCAATCTCGATGCTTTAACCTCTTTCCTTCTATAGTCATTTATCTTTTTTAGGTGATTGTCTTTAAAGTTGTGCTCAAAAAGTTGCCTTTCAATTTCTCTTTTCAAGCACCTTTTAAATTTCCTCCTTTTTATAGTTGTTCTTTTATCAGAATTGATAAAGGTACCTTAGGCATATAAAGGTAAAGCTTTCTGTTTAAATCAAATAAAATTCATGTGAAACACACGATAAAACAAACCCATTTTCCTGTAACTCAAAGATTAGACAGAGAAGTTGAAGAAAGTGACTCCTAATAGGCCTGGTAATATAAGCACTCAGAGTTTGCTTGTTACTTAAGTGAATTCTCTAAAAGATATACAAAAACAGGTATTATCAGAGAAAATGAACCTTCAGCGCACAACAATATATATATATATATAAACAGTTATAAAGGTGTTTGTTTATATCAAATGCATCAGGTAAAATCAAAATGTTGACAACTTAGAGACAGTAAATAGACAGTAACAAACTTACATTTTCAGTCTTAACAAGCAAAGATATGGTATTCTTGTTCACCTTTCCACTGATTGCTCTTCAATAGACGAAATTCAAATTGGTCAACAGACATATAGGGGAAAAGTAGAACAAACAAGTGGAGCAAGAAACAATTGAAAGAGGATAATTCCAGAAAATCAACAGAGAGTCTGAAATTTAGCAAACCTGAGGAAGGATATATAGTATGACAATAGCTCTTCATTCCGGAAGTCAAAAGAATAAGTTATAAGGGAGTTTATATTTTCATTACTGAACAAATAATCTGCATTGTTTTTCCACGAGAGTCGAGAAATTAATAAAGCATCTTCAAAATATAAAGCTACACTACATGTGATGTATATAATCATCTTACATATGGAGTGGTCACTTTTCAGATTCTGAATCATAATGCTCATTGTTTGTAGCAGTTGAATTGAAACAATCACATTCCTGTTGATCTTTAATATCCGTACAAATTCCCCCATGACTTGTTTCTCCATAAAAAACCTGATAAATAGACCTCATTAACAAATGTCTTGTTCAATATAAATAATAAAGTAAAAATGTAAAAAAAAAAAACGCACTCAAAGAAATTTGCATCATGCTGGTCGCCATATGTTATCAACTCTGCAATTGATCTCAGTGCCTCTATCACAAAATCCTATCACAATATAAAGAAGAGCAAGGTCATTAGAAACATTGAAGTAAACATATTGATGTTGTATGCATTTAAAATGAGAATGAAAGAACATGGATGAAGGATAATTTAATGTTGTTACCTTGTTAACGTCATTAACAACTTGAATTTTCATCAGTTGGTCAGTTAAATATCTGCAGCAGAAGCAAATCAATTTCTTGTACATGAATCAAGAATGTTTAATATGCCATAGATCCATGGCTATGAACTTTAATTATTGTAAACAAATTAAAATGTTTAGATACATTGATACAGGCTAAATGGATCCAGTTTTTTAAAACAGGAAAAACGACAACCAATATGTGTTGTGTAGATATCTTGCAATAACTTATATTCCCATAAAAGTTTGAACAAAATATGTTATACTGCATACTCTGTTCTTTTGAGAATATATGATTGTTCCATCAAAATTTAGTTGTGAATGTGGTTACAGAGGGCATACAAGCAAATACTGATGGTATATCTTTTTCTTATGATGATATCATGTTATATGATAATACCAAGTCAGATATCAAAATCTAGTGATGACAGGCACTCTACAATCTGAGGATATCAAATGAAAGAGATAGTCTAAGGGTGCAACTGTAGTGGTACCAATAGGGTGTGGGAAATGTAGTATCTTACACATGAAGTGCCTGTAAAGGACATATATCATTCTTAGGAGTCCAATAACTTAAGGACAGAAGATGAATGATAATTTTGATTATGGTAGAATGAATAAAGGGATGTTGTACTTGTCCATCTCAGTATCCTTGATAGCAAAGCTCCAAAAACATAAAAGAGCATTTGTTTAGAACAAAGAGTGACACATGTTATGCTCTCAGGTGGGAATGATAAGACAAGACTCACAAGAGATAACATATACACTCATCACATTTACCATATCATATGCAAAATACTATAAATTAAAGCAGCACCACTATATCCCAGAAGAATAAACTCCATGTAAGGTTCAAAATGACAACTCCATTGGTTCCATGTAAAACGAGCTAACTTCCATTATTTGTTTCAAACCTTACGTTTCTAAATGCAAATTTCATATGGATTTTATTAAAAGCTTAACATCTATACTCTTCTGAAGGTGGTAGTCAGGTTTACTGTGGTCTGCCCACTTGTAAACAGAGTAATGTCATATGCCCATGGATGAAATAAGCTGCGTAATACCGAAGTGGACACACTAATCTTCAAATATTTATTCTGTCTTCCCTTACAAATTTATCGTCGTAAGCGTTCTACTTTTGCCCTAAAATACATCCCCCACTCCGATAACTAAATTAAACTAAATCCCCAAAAAAGAAAATCAAAGAAGAAAAATTAAAAAGGAAAAATAGTTACCTGAGTTCATCCAAGGTGAATCGATCTTTGGATCTCCAGAACGTAAACCACATGATTTTCTCCGATCAGGCCCACTTTTACGAGTTAAAATTTAGCATCCTCGGAGAACCTCGAGATTACGATGATGACATTCTGCCTTCCCTCAGTTCGAATCTTTGTTGACTGCCAGTGTAGGTAATTACGCCCCAAATTCGAAATTCTACCGGAAAATAATCTATCAAATTCAAAGACGAACAACCTCTGATTGTTGAACACTGTGTGCGTATATATGTTTCTGTTGTTGTGTGCGTGAAATTGGGTAGAGAAAGATCAGAGACGGTGGGGGATCGCCGATTGCCGATAAACTCCGGTTAAAGTAAAGGTTAGAATTATGATTTTTGCGCAGTCGACACCATTAACATCAAGGCCTGTCGACGGGCCAAGGCTGAGCTGGCAATCCCAATCGCAATCGGGTCGGGTTTTTACATGGAATTACAATTTACTCTTTTCCAACCAGAAAAGATAAGCCACTTGTAATGAATATTTATTTTTAATTAAAAAAATAAGTCTACCTCTACCCCTATGTGTACATGCTTTCTTCTTTTATGCCTATACGCAAGGGATTGTTTTGCATTATTTTAAGTTATTAATTGTATAATGTATAATTGTCAATAATACATTTTATGTGATTTGGGGTGTTTTGGTCCTTATAAAATATATTTAATTTGGATGGCCTTCAAAGTTTAGTTTGTTATTACTATTATTATTTTGTCTCTCTTCCAGGACTCCATTAACATTTAGTAAAATAATCATTATATCTTTATTTTTTTTAGATGATCCTATGAAAATATTCAAAATGCATGGTTGTGATTATAACCAGATATAACAACTTAAAAAGTTAAATATAATTGAAATCATTATATTTTTATTTTTCTAGATGATCCCATGAAAATATTCAAAATGCATGGTTGTGATTATAACAAACATAACAACTTGAAAAGCTAAATATAATTGAAATCACTATTCTAATAAAAAAATAGTTTTAATCTTCATTTAACATAAATCACTTTAATACAACTCCTTATTAATATTATGTCACGTGTTAAAAAGATACATTAGGCAACACATCAAAACTTTAAAATTTTGGTATATCTCTTAATTAATGATTTATTTAAAATAACTGATAAATAATGTTTTAATTTTTACCATGAAAATTTAATTTATTTTTTAATTATGGATTCCACGGGTTATAAACTAATAATATGATACTTTAAGAGGCAAGTCCATACATTGAAAGGGGAAGAATAAGAAGAACCTACAACAAAAGCTTACATGATATCAATGACAAAAAAAAAATTAAAAATTCAAAAATCAAAAATAAAAAATAAAAGTCAAGTTCGTCCCCTTCATCAAGAAACTATAAGAAGCAACCATTTCTTAAAAAAAATCACCCTTTCCATCATTGGCTTTTGTTTTGGACAATGTTTTAATAACCGGTTTTTTAATTGAACCGGTCAGGTGACGTTTTCTGGTTCAACCGTATGGTCAAACCGGTTCTATATTTTTATATGTTTTAATTATCCTGCATACATTAATTACAAAACTTGTCATATTTTTAGTATTACAAACGTAAATAGAATGCAACATATAAAAACAATCATTATAGATATCAAAATCAAACAAAGAAACCCAAAACAAACACAAAAATCAAAGAATGTCTGGTTCAACCCGGTCCATTCCGGTTCAATTCATCCGGTTGAACCGGTTTTTTACCAAAACCGACCGGTTCAATCCGGTAAGGAAATCATTATAAAACCGGTCCAAATCGAACCGCCCTCACCTTCGATTCAACCAGTTCAACCAGCCGGTTTGAACCAATTTTTAAAACACTAGTTTTGGGTTGTCCTCTTCGTCCACAAACTTCAAGCAACTTCATTTGAATCAATGTGTCATGGGGTGAAGACCAAATCTAGGTTTATATCAACATTGTAATTTAGTTTTCACTCTCAATAAGAGTTGATATGAATTTAAAACAAAACATTTTATTAAAAAAAAAAAAAATAAAAAAAAAAAAAAAAAAAAAGGTTATTACATGATACCATACCAAATAAGTAGATTTGCAATACAAACACTTAAAAGTATTACTTTCGAGAGAAATCGAAATAAATGAATAAACATTTTAATTTAGTGTTTGGTACACGAACTAGATGGGAACGAAGTAGAACTAGACATTTGGTAGCATTAAAACATAACAAAGCATGATTACCAAATTGTCCATAAAAATAAATTTTGAAATTAAATCTATTAAAAGAAGGACAAAATTTTGAAATATAAAACCAAAAGAATTGAGATAAAAATATAACTAAATAGTTATTTTTAAAAAAAAAAAATCAATGAGCATAAGAAAAAAAATTACTTTAAAATGTAAACACAAAGCTTAGTGAGTTCTCTCAAGTATACCACACAGTCCATCAAACGTATAATGCATATCAACACTAATCAACACCTTAGGGTCAGTAGGCACTCAACCAACATCCCAACTGACTTGTAGAGTCCCAGTCAGCTCACAGTCAACACCCAACTGACATGTAAACTCCCAGTTATCTTCCTACTCCTACTGGCCATGTGGGCTCACGACCATCATCCCATAGGACCGTTTAAACATAACAAAAGATTATCTTAGTTTAATCATATATATGTACGCTAACAGTACATATACATCCTACCACACAAATAACATATAATGTCACATATAGTATAGTGAGAAAACTCACATGAATCTAGCAAGCATAATCTCAAAGAGATCTCCACAAACGAAACAGTTAGCTCGAACTACCTGATATCAAATAGAGGCAAATCCTCAGTTCAATATTCATATCCACCAAGGTTTGACCAAAAGTCAAACTTGACAAAAAGTTTACGGTTAACAGACACGCGACAACGCATCACGACTAGTCTCTGGTCGCATCGCAACCACTACAAGACAAGCTAGTCGTGAGACCAGACCAACCTACACGTCGTAACCATGCCTTGGTTGCATCATATTTTCCGGACAGAAGCACTAATTTTATTAAGTGTATAATCCAATAAGTCAGATGCTATAACTTTCCAAAATCCATCAAATGAGGTTCTTAATGTATAAAGTTTCCAACTTTATCCTTAACCAAGCCTCTAACAAAGCCAACACAAGCTTAAATCTATAATGAGGCCAAAATGACAAGGACCTTTGTGTACAACTCTAAAAGGGCTTGAGCATACACTTCTCTCAACTTCATGAGTCCATAAAACCATCCAATACAACTACTAACCTGGAGTTTTCCCAAATCCAATTCATTCAAGAAAAAGGGACCAAATATTGATAAAAAAAATTAGATCTAAAAGTACTCGGCCATAAAGATCCAAACTTTATAACTTACAAAGGATTTTGAGGTGATAAGAAGGTAGAAACTTCACTAGACCAAGCTTCTTATGCACCGAATTTAACTTATTCTTCTTCAAGGATCACACTACAAGTAACAAAACACAAGGAAGGACGGAAAATAGTCTAGTGTATTTGCTTTGGATCTCAAGGGGAATGGAGATTGAATGCGAGAAAAACATTAAAAGTTATAGCCCTTAAATAAGGTACTAAAACCAAGACTTGTGGTTTTGAGTTGTGGCGGCCACACGTTGCTACCCACACATGGTCACGACGCGACTTAAACAACCGGCACACGCCGCAACTAGCTTTTGGTCGCGTCGTGAAGTCAAAGTCCCTCCAAAATTCTTATTCCAAAAATCCCTAAAATAATTAAATTAACATACCAGGAAATAGACGCTACAACAACCTTAAACAGGGGTTGTTAGGGTTGTTGGTTTGTCTTTAGTTTATATAGAATTTTTAGTCAGCTTTGATTAACCATAACTTTTACATAAGATCTTCAAAATAGTTGATTTTTTCTAGCATTTAGTTATCTGTCTTGGCTCCATTTAGGCTCAATAACCACATTAATTGGTTAAGAAAAGATTAGTAGCAAAACGTGGTGGTTGAGGCTCGAGTTGGACTTGATTCCCTTAAATAGATTCGCCGTTTATTCCCAGGGTACAACAACCTTAACAATGGTGTATTGCCGGATATTTCACTTGCCTGAAAGAGTCGCCGGAAGCAGGAGTACAAAGAAGGAGGAGAAAGAAGAGTACTTTCATTTGTTTATTGAATGAGATGGTAAAGGTTTCCTTTTATACTTGAATCGTGTAATGGAAACAAATCAATGATTGATTGAGCGTTTAATGCCAATAAATGTCATTAGTTACGTAATTAATGCATCCGTTACAGAATCCAAAAATAGGGACCAAAACTGTCAAGTTTAGCAAAAACGAGGGTAGCACGAGCCCAAGTTTTCAGAGTTGCATTCGTGTCCGCAGGTCGCGCCCATGCACGAGTTCAGTGTTTTTGGTCTACAAAATCCAAATTTTGCACCCCCCTGCGCGTGGGTAGGAATTGTAGTAAAACCATAGACACAAGCTTATAAGCCTTACATGCATTCAAGCTTATAAACCTTGTTGAGTTTGGTCTTTCTACCAATATGGGACTCATTCCCACATTCATCCGCTTTTGCTAAAATTATTCTCAAATACCCTTCTTTGAGTATCAATATCTCATTCACATATACTCCATTTTGGACATATAATATATCGTTTCGAAGTCCTCGTGGAGGAGAACACAAACCCACTTAGATTTAGTTATATAATATATATATATATATATATATATATATATATATATATATATATATATATATATATATATCCAAAGTTCGTAAAAATATAACTATTTATACTAAATTTTCCAACAATCCCCCACATAAATGGAGATCGATCTCTGCACATCCAATTTCCAAATGAAATTTTCAACAGTTGAATCCTGCATAGGATAAGTAGGTATTACCCTTTGAACCCTCCCTTAAGATGTTACACTTAATCTCCTAGCAGTTAGTAGATATCGATGTTTTTGAACTGAGTTGTCATTTATGTAGACGATGATGTAAATCTCACAGGACTCTCCCTGACAAGGCCATATCCTCATAGACTTGTTATTTTTGTTCATGAACACTAACATGGTTCTGCAAGAGCTTTAGGAATCGTGCCCATATAATTCCCTTTGAAGCGACCCCATTCCTTTATCACATAGGTGATTCCAAGAATCATTAAAAAACCATCTGTTTAGCCTAATTTTGTCACTACATATAGGAATGGACTATGAAGTAGTGTTAACTCCCCCACAGTGACATGCCTCACTCATACAATTAGGTTATCCTTTTGAACCCAAATCTTGGGATCTCCAGTCTTTTGGGTAAGGTTTCCTTCGTATGAATTTATTCATTCATGGGCTTTAGTCCCATTCCTCTTAATGACTTATAAACTACGTCTCTACTCAATCCTTTTGTAAGTGGATCCGCAATGTTATCCTTTGACTTTATCCAGTCAACCGTGATAACCCCCGTAAAGATTAGTTGTCGTATTGTTTTATGTCTACGTCTAATGTGCCTTGATTTCCCATTATACATTATACTTTGAGCTCTACCAACTACCGATTGGTTATCATAATGTATACATATGGCCATTACCGGATTAGGCCATTTAGGAATGTCCTCC